TATAAAAATGTGAAAACCCTTGACCTGTCATTAATTTTTTGGCTGAAGCCCCTGAGGGAGCTTTGTCTGCCCTAAATGCACCTGAAGGCCCTTCAATAAACTGAACTGTTTTTTTCAATAAATGCAACTCTGCCTTTAGGTAATCCATAAAGGCACCAGCTGCAGGGTTAGGGATAAGTGGCTGGGGCAGGTTTGTTGTTGTTTCCCCATCACTCAGGAGAGCACTCCCACAAGAGGTGAGGAGCAGGGTGGGGGCCCAGGGCTGACACAGGGCTGGGACAGAAGGATTTGCTGTGCTGTGACACACACAGGTGTGTGAGCACAGCTGGGCCAGCACAGGAGAACAACAGGAGCTGCTGAACTGTGGGGATTCAAACAACCACGGGTGAGTGTTGTGGATGGGGTTAGAGCAGGAGGAGATGCTGAAGAGCAGCTGAAAGAGGGGATGGAAATATTGACAAACAATGCTACAGCCTTTTCAGAAGGCTGGCACAAAGGAAGATGTGGCTGAACCACAGTTGAGAACAGACATGGAAAGGATGGAGAAGCTGACCTAGAGCAGCAGTGAGAGACAGAGTAGAAAGCCCAAGGAATCAAAGGAACCAAGGCCAAAAAGGAGAACTACATGAAAAGAAAGAGAGAAAAAGAGAGAGAGAGAGAGAAAAAGAGAGAAAAAGAGAGAAAAAGAGAGAAAAAGAGAGAAAAAGAGAGAAAAAGAGAGAAAAAGAGAGAAAAAGAGAGAAAAAGAGAGAAAAAGAGAGAACTGAGAATCTTCAAAAAAATAGTTTTTCTTTTCTGTAGGAGTATGATCCAGCTGAGAGACAAATCTGGCAGATTAATTAAAACTATTATCAAAACTATTAATCTAGATCTAAAGAATTCACACTAAAAAAGGTAATAAGTAGATGAAATGATCCGTGGAAATCAACTATTTAAATACCTGTCCGGTATAGTTCTGTGGCACCCCTGAAGAACCGGGGCAAAGCTGCCTCCAATAACATGATAAAGTCTTCAAGCTCTTCAGTAACTCCCACAAGGAAGTATTCATTAATCAGATTGTATTTGGCTTGTTCCAAAGCCCATCTGCTTCCCACATTCCTAAAATGACAGAGAACAATTATAGCAAATTCTGATGTCAGCCAACAATCCTTGGTCCCTAGATAGGGATTACTTCACAACAGGACATTTGTATAGGAAAGGCAAGACTTACTCCAAGTTATAACCATCCTAACTTCATGTCCCTTTCCAGTTTCTCTCATCTGGGTTCTTACCTAAAAATGTGAGTTCTCTACTTATAAAAGAGTCTCAACAAAAATATGCGACGTGTGTGTGTGTATGCTTAATGCCTCTATTCAAGCAAATTTTTCAAGGATTTACACTGTCTCTATATTAATACCCTGTCTCCACTTTCACATTAGATACCAGAAATCTGGCAAAAACACACCTTCCCTTTTGCACCTTTCTCTGCTTCTCCACATGGCCAGAGAGTAGATAGGACTGAACAACAGGCACTGACAGAGAAGCTCCCAAGTGGCCATTTACTTTGCTTGTGTTTGAATGAACAGTACCTTTGACAAATAATTGCCCTTGATATCACTCAGAATCTTTCAAATAATCTATGGGGTTTTTTTGGGTTTTTTTGCTAAAGAGCATTTTAAGTCTTTGCCATCATTATACAGTATGTTGTATTGATAGCACCATTTGATTTTGTTTCAGTTTCTGCTAAGTAGCATTGACTACTGGATATCTGGTAAAGGTTTAAAAAGATGAATTTATCCTTATCTCAATTATTGTGTACTCCCTAGGAACTTTAGGAGCTTGAACTAAAATATCTCCATTCCAAAAGGATACTGTAGTCTGCCATAAGAGAAAAATGTCAAGACTCTAAATCTGCAAAAATGATTTTTAAAACTGAAAACATATGTTTTCCCTCATAGCACTAGTGATACAGTATTTTAACATACTGCTAGTTTAAAGAACTGCAAAACTCTTTCAGCAAATCCATTTTCAACAGAAAACACATTACTCAAGTATCCACTGCTTCACTCTGCCTCGCACTTTTATCAACTGGACTACATATTGAAATTTGTTAAAGTTTAGATTTCAGCACTGATGTACTTGACAAACAAGCTACATTTATTTCCCTACCAGCATTCTGAGCTGTGGCCACAGAAGAATGGAATTTGAAGCCAAAGTTTCTCTGGAGCACAGTCGGAACCTCCAGCTGCCACACATTCATCAAAGGTCTGCAACAAAGACGAAACTGAGCTGAGCTTTAAAATCTCATACATGTATCAAACATCTCAAACTAGTTAGTTGCTAAATGTGGTGGGGACAGAAAAACACATATGACGTTCTAGAAAAAAAGTAAATTCAAGCCTTGCTTTCACAGTGTTATCAGGATGATCTATTGTCTCAACTAAACAGGACTTGGACAGTCTTTTATGGTTACAACTAATGAACAATTGATCTTACCTGATACATTGATACCTTTGATATAACTTTAGCAAAGGCTATTTGTCAAAACTAGCAAAAATAGTCAATAAGTGTTAGCATAATTGTTTTCCCCTATAAAAGAAGTCACTAAAGATACAGCATCAAATGCCATCTGGAATTGTGTAATCCTGCAACAGCTGGATGTTTATAACACAGAACATTGTGCATGTTTTAGATTAAACAAGGTTCTATTACATTTTAATTATGACAAATAACTTCCATTTCAGAGACTAATTTTGTTTTGGCAATCAGAAGAACTGAAGTTTTTCAGGGCATAACAGAATATCCCGTACAATATTGCTCTCTACATGGATATACAGCTCTAGTAACCAAGTTTCAACTGCAGTAACATAGGAATGACAAGGAACATAGGAATTACAACAGGAACTCCATTAGTATTGGAAGGAATTTGTAAGTGCTTTACTGTGTCACAATAAAGGAAGTATTTATGGTATTTCTAATCAAGATATAAGGTCTGTATCTAGGATATATTAAAAAAAACCAAACAGATAACATAGACAACTTTTGAGACTGCTTCTTCAGTATAATTACAAGTTTCTGTTCAAAGCAACTATGTAAAAACACATTTGTTTAATTACTTGTAGTTTAAAACAAGGACAACATAATTTGCTTCTATTTTGAGGTGAAGTTTATGAGATAATTTAAAAAAATTACTGATACTATGCCAAAGTAGGGAGTAAACTGTGGTGCCCTGGTTCATATTGAACTGAGTTTAGAATAGCTTGTACATGTTGCACATCATAGATAAAAACACAGCTTAAGTAGGAAAACAAGACATTGGTATGCATTCCCTAGCATAGTTCTCTAGAGAAATTCTGCACTGATCTATTGTTAAATGTACCTCCTAAATTATGAATGTTTATACTAAAAATGAACTGGCATCTGTGTAAAGAAAGATTTCTGTGCTTATACCTGCAGGTTATTTTACAGTTAATAAGCAAAAGGAAGCAAGCCATTTTCTAAGTAGGCTGAAATAGGACAGACTTCCTTCCACACTTCCTCTTATGCACCTACCTTGGCTGCGCCATCCAGAGATTTTATTATAAAATACCCTTGCCTCTACAGACTCTGCATTTACAGCCAAGCTATCTATGACTGGAAGCACAGGGATACAGAAAACAACCTTGTTAAAACTTCTTCTGTATAAATGCCATGCTATGGACTAGGAGGGGACAAGAGTATAAAGTGCATTGAGATTCATTTCTACTAATAAAACAACTGACTTCCAATAGAAGTATTTTCTGACCTTCCCTACTTTTCATTTGAAGAGCTTTTCATGAATCTACTGTAACACATACTAGAATAAAGACAATGCAATTGGCTCAATCCATTTCTGAGCTTACTGAATTTTAGAACTAATGTATACAAAACTTACATAGTCTATATATGGACAGCTCCCCAGGGACACTTTGGAAAAATAGTACTACCTGATTTAAATGAAAGAAGCCAGAAGTTTGATATAGTAAATCAATTTCACTTCAAATGAACTTGAAATGCTTACAGAACATGTTAAATCTGTATAACAGCTAAGTCTCTCGGACCTAAATAAAGTGGTATCATAGCAACAAAATGAAAAAAGCATCTTCAACAGAAAAACATAAAATAAATAATGCAATTCATTGCAAGCATTATAAACAGGAATGCATTTGACCTTTTTCCCAACAAATCAAAGCTTAGAGTGCAGTCTATCAACCAGCAACACTAAGAATTTTTGGCATGTTTCCCAGTGACTACCTAAACCAGGTTACTTGGATTATAATTCAAAATTAAAATAAACACTGTTAAATTTCACTCATTTTAGTAAGTTTTATGACCTAGTACAGCTCAGACTTGGCAGCATGCTCAGGTTTCCAAATGACTGACCTCCAGCTGGAAAGAGGAAGACAGGCTACAAAAGATGAGATCCTATCTCTCTTTTTAAAATTGCCTTTATGATATCATATTGTATCACCTGTTCATCTGTTTAGCTAGTTCTATAAAGACAAATTTTAAGCTTAATTTCAATTTATTCTTGAAGCTTTCCTTTTCCTATGCTGCTGTGCTGCAGGATGCCTGGACAAACTGAAATGCAGTAGCTGAAGATGGCGCTAAATCCTAAATAACAGAGGAGCAGTTAGTTCCCAACTGGAAAGAAAAGAGGAATGGTCTATTCCCAATATTTAAAAAGCACTATTTGGATGGGAGCAGCATACAAAACGATTACTCACATTTATTAGTTGTTACGGCATTTACAGACTAAGTTGTATTTAGTGCAATTTTTGGTTATTTTTTCAATGTCTCTTGGTACCCAAGCAGCACTTATCAACAAATTAAATTATCAACGTAACAGAAAAACAGCGTCAGCTTAAGAAAATATTGTCACTGAAACTGTATAAAGTGCTCGGCTCTGTAAAGTACAAAAATTCATTACATTTTATAGGATTCCACACTGTTCTAGCTACAGCTTTGTAAACCATACTCATATATTTAATACCCTGCTTTTCTTCCAAGTACTAGAAAAATTCAAACCAACATGGCCAAAAAACATCATACTGCAAAGCATGACAGTGGATGTATAGATTCTTTCTGGAACAAATCCATTATGAAGCCTGGATGATGTTGCCATCCTGAAACTGTATTAGTAGTCAGTGTTTGAATGTGCTAACCTGAACTTATCTACAGCCACCTAAGACATAAGGAAGAAGTACAGAAATTTATGTATCATACTCTACAGTTTCCAAAAAGACATTGAAATGTTTCCATTTAAAAAAAAAAATAGAATAAATTGGGTTGCTAATTATATGAAAATAAACAACAAAGCCAAAGCATGAGCAGTTCTACAGCTTTTGGTGAAAAAATGTGTCTCAGTCTTCAGGAAGAGATGTAGCCTTCTTACACAGGAGGATAAGCCTAATTTGCTAATTACAATTCTGGACACTTAATAACAATAACAAAGAATATTTTATTTCATATTTTTAGTAAATTGCAACATACAGTGAATTTATAAGGGTACAAAGAACCTACTAATGCCATGTTCTGCTCCAGTATGGACAGGAAATGGAGAATATAACTTACAAAGCCACCATTATCACCAAGGCTGATAAAAGAACAAGTTGGCTTTTATCAGGGCATTTAAAAAATTGTTTTCACATTAATTTTATTAAGTTAAGCATATATTATTGGGTGTACTTTACCTTTTTATCCCCCTGTTTTCGCCTCCGTAGCCCTGGTCTGTAATCATCTCCAAAGCGCAGAAAGTAATAATAAGAAACTAGGCGCTCTATAGGATCTCTTATGACATTTATGTAAATTGGTTTCTTTTTAACACCAAATCTAAAGTAAAAGAAGAAAAAACATCTTTAAATGGACAAATCAAAGCTTCTCATCTAATATATAAAAACCTGTTATTATTGCTACAACTGAAATCTATACACAGAATACATGACAGTGAAAGGAAGTTTAATGATTGCTTCTTTTCATCCTCATATCCAGTGCATTACATGGATGGGAAAGTAAGTTCAATTTCAGTCTGCCTAAGATTATGATTTCAAGGACTTATTATTAAAGAAACAAACAAAACAGACATATTGTCACACAAATAGGTACTAAACATGTTTACACAACTATCCTGACTCTAGACATGCCTTAACCAGTTTAGTAGCCATGTACATGTTTATAATAAGTACAAGAAGTTTGATATTGAGTTCCTGCTTGCGAACTGGGCTTTGCAATGCTATGAGTGGTTTTCCTGGCACGTCTCCAGTTGTCAGAGATATTAACAGCAGGAAGGCAGAGCTCAGAGCCCATCCATTGCCTGGGTTGAATGCATACAGCTATGCTTATTAAATCTAAGTCTAAGATAGTATCTATAACCGTATTAACTTCTCTATTGAAAGATATTAAATTTTCCCTTAGACATTTACCCTTCGCAAATTTTGATGTACTCCAGTACAAACAGAAGCCTGATGAAATGAGGTGGTTAGCTCATGTGACACAGGAGAAAAATTTAAACCACCAAACTGTTTTGTGCAAATGCTACATTTCAAAACCATCTATGTTTAAGTCAGCTTTTACAATACATTTCTCAGTTTTATTTTCTTTTCCATTTGAAAAGTGCTGTGGCAAATAATTATGGTATCCAAATATTAAAGAGTTTATATCACAATGAAAATTGCAAGTGTGTCAAGTGCCCTGAAGTAAAGCTAGAAGCTGGGAAAAAAAGATCTCTTCTGTTCCTATGCAAACTGGGAAAGCATTCTGCATCGAAAGAGGGCCATTCATGCCTCCTAGCTTGGCTAAAACAGAGCACTCATAGTTTTAAGATGCAGTACTATGATTTTTAAAGGGGTACATTTTACTACCAGATACTATGCATATGAGGAACATTAAGTTGAAAAGCTGAAGAACAGAAATTTAGCAAAAGCAGCAGAAAGGAGGAAGTTAGGAAAAAAATCAATTAACAGGCATTGCTTTTGCCAAAAAGCAGCACTACAGACAGAGAAATTGTTAAAGGCAACAGAAAGAGCAACTGATTCTCCAGTGCTGCCAGTAGAGTACCAATGAGTCAGACTGAAGCACTCAAAGGCCGAATTGCTGACATCTGTCTGCATGCCAGCTCTGACTTCCCAGAGCCTGAAGTGTAGAGGGTGTGGATGTTTCAACCATTCTGATGTGAAGTCCATGCCTCGAACTACACCCTCTTTAAGGTCCACTGAAATGCATAAGACATGCACGTGTCCCCTTCAACAGATGACTGCAAATGCTGAGGAAGCTGTAACAAACCCTTTTGTAACAAACCATTTCCATACAGCAGCATACTCAACCAATGAACAGCACATATCAGCGAGTTAAATGAAAATTACATTTTCATTTACAAGAAATGCTTGTGCTGGATTGTACAATCACCTGCATTTGCACACCAGCTTGCAGAACTAGTTTCAGTTACAGTAACATAAACCTACTAGTAACATAAGTTATTACTGTAACTTTATTAATAATGATAATGAATTGGCAATTGCATTGTCAAAGAACTTTTTTCCCAACTATTTACCAGAGAAAATAGGGAAAAAGAATGGATAAGAAATTTTAAAAGACAGACAGAAAAGGGAAAAAATTTAAAATTTTATTACCATAATTTCTACATGGATGGATCACAATAACCTGTCCTCAATACTCTGAGTTATCACTGGAATATGGTACTTTAATTTTCAGCATATTTTAAGAGGTACTTCTGATATTTGACAGTGGACCTAAGTCTGATGTCTATGTATATGGAAGCATTGACTCTTCTGAAATATTTTACATTTAACTACAAGAATGTTCATTACAAGAACATACCTCACAGCCTTAAAGGTGTGGGCCTTGCCAAGCACAACCAGCGTATTCAAGATATTATTTTAATAATGAAAACCCAAAGTATGAGAAAGCAAGCTGTTGTAGGGAAAAAAAAAATCACTCAGGTGAAAGGATAACAAACAACAAAGACAAGGATAACACAGTCCTGGAAGGAAGATGCAGATGAAAGAAATCTGTGAAATTGCTTAGATGCTTTCTAGATGTAAAATATTTTAATTCTGGGAGTTCCAGTATCTGAAAATGTTTTCAGCTTTATGAACTAATGTATAAAATAACATTCAGCTTTGCTGCACCAGAAAGCTGTTACTCAGTTCAAGCATTTATTAATGTTGAAGCATTTTAATTTTAAAAAGGCAGAAAAAAAAAAAAAAAACGAATGGATTTTGATATATTTTATTTGATTGACTGATCTGTAACTAACTTCTTTTGCCTGTTACTTTTTGTAAACTTGGTGCCACTGGTCGTTTTCAGCTACTACTATAGCTTTTAGCCTTTTCTGATAACGTACTGTATTGGGAATCTGCACAAGCCTTGCTTCCCCATCTCATTCTTTGTAATAAAAAGTTCAAATTAAAAATCATGTGTACATGACAGAATGAGAAATTAAACAGAACGACTAAACAAAAGGAATTATTACATACAAAAAAAGAATTTAAATAAATACTTCAATGCACAGAAACAAAAATGCAGAGTGAGTCAGCAAGAGGTAAAAGTAGCAATAACTATCATTAACTATCATTAGTATAGTCAAATGCACTGAGATCTGAAAATTCCACTTCCAATTTTAAATCATCTTCCACATGCTCCAAGTGCAAGATGAAGCACTGCCTAGTAAGCATCTTAAGCAAAACTGACTTGTCAGTTCAAGGGGAGGTTTCCTAAGACTGAGCTACTGAGGATCACAGCTTTAGATCCAGAAGCAAAAATAAGACAAGAAAAGAAACATATGAAAGTGGGAATAAAGATATGATCCTGAACCTTTGAAGTCAATGGAAGGATTTTGATGATATTTTATTTAATTTTAGAAGTAGCAGCATTTAACTCCACAAGAATTACTTCAATGCTTTTTCTAGCAAGTCAAACTATTATAGACCAGAAAACTACTTCAAAATATAACTTTTCATATTTTTGATAAAGTACAAAGGGATACTAAGGTAGAGAAGAATTACATAACTTAAGAGGCAGGTGGTGTTACTCTTTATATGAAGCATTTTTGAGACTAAGTATGTTAAACTTCCCCAAATGGGAAGCCAATCCTAAAATAGAACTGTCAGTGTTTCAGAGGAAAGCCATCATTTTCAGCAAAACAAGCTTGGAATTTAGACAAGGAATACCAATCCCAGTATATAAACTTTTTTTTTTTTTTTTTTAAGTGAGACTCGGCTACATTTTATCATGCAAGAGAACAAGAGAAATGGGCGACGATCAAGCCCAAACGCCGGCCGTCTGGGAAGGCCAGCGGGCGGCTCTGAGCAAGCTGCAGGTGCCGGGCTCCGGGCGCTAGAGGGCGCCGGCAGCCCGGCCGGAGCCCAGCCGCAGGTACCGCCGCGGGAACGTACTTGGCGAAGTCCAGGTATGATATATGGCCATGGTAAAATCCTGGCTTCATCTCCTTCCAGGAAGTCACATTCTTCACAAATCGGACCTGTGAAAGTGGGCAACAAAAAGTGTTTCTGTACGGCTCATCACATTTCTCCATACACGGGGTTTCCTGGCTTTTAGTCTTATAATGAGTTAGATAAAAAAGTCTATTTTGAGTATTATCAAAAAATTTGTGCCACCTAAAATAGACTTTCCTGCAGCATAAAGATGACCGATTTTAGATCACCAAATTTAATGATCAGAAACTAAACAAAAGCAGAATACAGAAATCAGAAGGACAGTTCAAGGAAAGCTACCACAAAAACATCAAGACAAACATTTATATTTTTGTCAGTCCATTTTATTTGTAATTGTAAAGGAATGTAGAATTCTTTCAGTAGAAATGCAAGTACATATTTGATGGCATTGTCAATGCTCCGTATTCAGTCCCTCAACTAAAAGTGTACCAGATTTACAGCACGCTCTTAGACCTCTTTTACTGGGATGTATGAAATTAATCTGATGGTTCATTTGCTCCTCCATCCCAAAATGCAATGCACAAGTAATCCAGAAATGTTATAAATGCATGTAATGTAAATCAGATCTATAGTTTGCTATTTTGAACAGTCATCTTAAGCCTAACATTTCAGTGAAACTTTCATGCTAAAGCATGAAGTAGCCCTTGAATGAGAGCTGATAGAGCAGTTATTGGCAAACTTCACAAAAATAGGAATAGCTTTACATTTCAAAGAACAAAATAAGACACATGCCCCAAACCAGACAGCGTGATCAAATTAAGTGGGACATGCAAATCCTGACAGAGCTTGGCTTTACTAGATGAACAGAATATTTTAACATCAAAGCATGTAACTGAAGGTTATTTCAAAACTAGTGAATTGGATAATAACGAGAAGATGATAAATTTATACTGCCTGAGCTGTCTGACAAAGATATGCCATTTCTGAGGCTGTGAATTAAAAGACAGTGTTCTCTACACATCTGCAATATCTTTTCTGTTATACAGAGAAACAGATAACCACAAAGATTCTGAGGTGAGACAAGAGAGACAAAAAAGTTTGAGAGCTCAAGACAACACAAACTAATATTCTGTAAGGTCAAGTGGATCGAGAGTGTCCTGAAGCATAATATTTACCAGCTGAAGATTTTAAGAGGTGAGACTGGCCTGCTGATTCTTCAATTGTGCAAAACTCATGGTCTACAATTTAAGAGGTTGGTAACCTGTACTTATTTCTTTAAACACTGCCTCTTGGACTCTCAGATAACAAAAATTTAAATTACCTTTTAGTAACAGGCAACATTAATTTTTTCAGTGTACAAGTTTCACAGCCTGTGGCATTACAAAATTTAAAGCATATATTGCACATGAAAATGGTGGCAAATTGAGCTGAAAAGCACTGCACAATGTTACACAACAGTGTAACTGCATTGGCTTTCTGTCTGGTTTTGTCCATAGCACAAACTGATAATATGGGACTTTGAATCTAGTTGAACTACCTTAACTGCTACTGAAATAAACCACACTTCCATTAACTGTATCTTTTCAAGGTTAATGACCGGATATTTTCAGTGTAGAACCTCAGCTATAAATATTTCTTTACCTGGCAAAGGTATTTCCTAAATACAAAATATAAATCACCTTTCATTCCTTCACCCACAAACCCCAAAATGTCATGGTTGGTTGATACAACTCTGCAAGTAAACCAGTTATGCTATTTAGGCTGTGCAGTGCAGCCAACATATTAAAGTGTACATTTATGTTTCCATGAATGAGCTTTTTGGAATCTCACATTATCTAGATTTCAATTTCTAACAGACTAGGACTAGACATAAGGTAATGTTAAGCACAAAATCCCAAGGTTTTTGTTTTAGATACCCATGCCAGCATCTGGCATCAAATCATAGATTTTTCAGTAAGTTAGAAAAATCTTCTATTGCCTTTGTCTTACTGTGTTGTTGTCTGCTATGGAAATAATTTTTATGAACATAGGATGGATAGTCTAGCCACTAACACCAGACAAGGTAAGAGAAGGCTAGGAAGGTTTTATAACACACCTGTGACATTTACATCTGTCTTAAGATGGACCTGCAACATGCTAAGCCCCTGAGAACTATAGTTTTTAACACCTGTAACTAGCCTGCAGGTAAGAGATTTTCTTTTTCTCCCACAGTTTGCAGCATTCCAAAAGCCAGAGTTGTTCCAGGTCACAGGCAACCTAATGAGTCTGGATTCACACATTTTAGGTCAGAGATGAATATTCCTCCCTGCTTCATACTGTTAAATATGATCAATTTCACCTTTCTTTTCAGGGCTTAGCAGATACTGGAGCTTTCAAGAGACAGAGAAAGCTTCTCCATCTGTGCTCAATCAAATAAAATTTGAGGTGACTTTAGAAGTTCAGATAGACGTGAATGGAATTCCTGTGAAGTTGTTTCATGGTGCTTTTATATAATCAGCTACAAAGTTGCTTCACAGCCTTTAGTAAGTGGGAAATCAGCTGAGGTTCACTGAATTAAAAAGCCAGATCAAACGCACTCTAGGGACATAAGATGTCCTGAAAGGTAAGTTAAACACATTCAGTTTCTAGGACAGTAGGAATTTAAAACAAGTCCCAGTGAGCCAAAAGGAGGAAAAACCCAACCAGCATACCTGGTCTGAGAAAAAGCCATGTGTGCAAACTAAGTGATGCTCTAAGTTCTTATCTCAGTCCATTAACTGCGACCATCAGTCCCTCTTCTCTACAGTCTGACCACACGCACTCACATGAGCTCATGCACACACACACTCACAGTCACAGACACCCTCACACATGCATGTGTGCAAGAGCCTGCGTGAGTGTGATTGTCTGTCTGAGTGTATCTGACGGCATGAGTGTGAGCATGACTGTACTTCTCAGTGTGAGCGTGTCTGAGTGTGTGTATGTGTTAGTGCGCAAGAATTTGAGTGTGCATGAGTGTGTCCGAGTTAGCTCTGAATCAGAGGGTCAGGAATGCTGGAAACAGGCAAGCAACACACCTTTGGCTGCATACCATGAACAACCACAAGAAGCTCAAGGCAAGGACAGTTGAGAAGAAATTTTGTGAGATGGTGAAAAGATTGAATTCACCAGTTCAGCCACAGAACAGCCAGGATACCTGCCTTGCACTAATAGTCCTTTCTCAGAAGGAAAAATTCAACTGGCACACATGCAGCATTCATACTCAGTAGACCATCTAACTCCAAAAGAAAAATTCTTAAATGTTCACAAGCACATGACAGTACTTCTACTCATAACAGAGTTGCTGCAGCCTTTTCACTCGTTCCACTTCTGACATAACGGAAACCTGCACTAGCAGAGGAAGTAAGTACCACAAAAGCCACTATGTACTGTCCTCTGAGAAACCATTTTAGAATGTACTTGAAAGCAAGATAATGTATTTTCATGCTGCTCTTTTGAGAAAAATCGAGAGAGAAACTGTAGGAGAAAAAAACCCAAGAATCAGAAAACAGCAAGCTGAGGGATTGAAACATTGGATAATTGTAGCACTCATAACAGTACAGAGAATGCTCCTCACACCCACTTTTTAAATAACATATCTAGAATACTTGCTGCAATGCAGAACAGTCATTTAATTTAAAATGTTTTAGATGACAACTTCACCATGTAACAAAACCAATGAAGTTTGTGTGGATGGTATGCCATCCTGATAGCCACAGGCATTCTTGGATGGACAAAGTGTCACTGCTGAAACATGCAAGCAACAAATAAAACTCAACCAAACAACTACTCTGACTTGATTACGAAAAGCAAGTGTTTCTACTACAGACCACACAGGTCAGAATGCAATATAGGCAAACATGGCACTCAGTTTGCTGCAAAGAAAAGGCCACACCTGGGGAAAGAGGGGCAGCTCCCAGGATCCTGCTGCCAGAGATGCTGCAAAGGAAAGGAGGGCTACTGGGAGAAGTTAAACTTGAAACTAAAATGTGTGTTAGGAATTCTTATCAGATTATCTCAAATCAGATACATACTATATTTGGAGTGGATTTTAAATATCATTTTTTTCATATTGCATTCAAGAAGTAAAGGTTTCACATATGGACAGAGAACTTAAAATCTGTTACAGAACTACAGTAGTTTGTAAAAAGTACAGCAGAAAAACTGCACAAAAGAACACTCACTAATTTACAAACTTGTCAGGCCTGAGGCAATCTTCACCTTGCTTAGGGAGATTTACTTTAACTAACAGTATCACTAACAGAACAATTTTGTCTCTATGATATGTTTATGTATTTTACTACTGGCACATATACACCTAACACACCTAAATAAGCTATACTGGTGAAGGTGGCATATGAATGTGTCATACTAACCCAAGCCCACACAGAGTAAACATCATCAGCTACCACTCAGCACCCCTGCCATCTCTAGAATTACGCGTGGTGACTTATAGTGTCAAGTTGTTGTCTCCATGTATTAAAGATGAATAATTATTTGTGCATTTTTGAACAACTGTTCAATATATGAAGTTCTTCATTGTCAGCATGTCCCAGTTAATGGCCACCAAGGAAGAACAGTATCAAGTGTCTAATGAACTACATAATTTACCACTTTGGACAAGAGCATGGTATCAAATGAAGGTAGGACTGACAGTATTGTGTACATGCTCAGCACAGACAGATTTTCATTTTTTAATACATTATTATTAGAGAGAAGATGAAGAGTTTCTCTGCTATAAAACAAAGCCAGCAAAGAACAAATTTTATTTAAGTTCAAACAGAAGTAGGCATTTAAGATAGCCTGTGTTTAATTTATACCTATTCAATGACTAGCCCTCCTATCCTTTAGGACAGACCTCCATTTCAAGACACAACTTGACAGAAGCAGAATTTGTTTCTGAAGTGCAGCCTAGGTATGACTGACTTGAGCATGATTTTTCATCAATAGACACAGGTTTATTAAATCTTTTGAAAAATCACTCTTTGTGCACTGGTCTTTAGTACTTGTTCTATACAGTGACAGTCTACCAGACTTGATAATCACAGTAATCATATATGACAGTATCACCTTCATACGTAGGAAGCAGTTTTACAGGAGGAAATACTCAACAGTAACACAACCCCACTACCACAAAACAGATTCCAGTATCACCCAAGTCCATTATTTCCTCTGCACAGAGATCCCTACCTCAACCTTTCTCCCACATTCAGAACTGGAAGTGGAGGGCCTTCAGCATCTGCTTCCCTCTGCCCCAGTCCAGCTGTGCTGAGCTGCTTCAGCCTGCAGACATGCACTTAGAGGAGCTGGAAGGCTCAGTGCTGACATGCTGCAATGCAGAGCAGCTCCTGCCTCTGCTGCATATCAGCTTAAGTGATCAGCATACAACTGGCAGTACAGAGTTTGGAAACATTTGTTTTACAGGCAGGGATGATGACAGTGATGTTTCAGATCTCTAACCTGGATTCTCTGCAAGAGCACTCATGATAGACAAGGAAATATTAATGAAAATAAACCAATAAACATGCTTCCTCAGCCCAGCCGAACAAAAACACAGCACTGAACCCTCATCATCTTCTTAAAATACTCTTTTTAAATACAGTATCTATGATAATTTCTAGTCCGGTACTACAGTGATTTTTAATAAGAACTTTTAATGGATGCAAAGTGACCTGTCCTTCACAGTGCAAACTATTTACAAGCACTTTTCTGTATGTGTTTTTATCACCTGTGAGACCTGACCAGCCCCAGTACCAAAGACAGAAGTCTAGACCTGACAGCATGGCACAGTGCCTGCACTACTCAGAGAGCAAATTGCCTAAGACTGCATTCACTGCAGATGGAGATGACAGGCAAGTTGTAATACACAGCCAAAAGAGCTATAACAACAAAGGTCATTTCTACCCCAGTCATGCCCCTCATTAGCTTTGTTTTTGTCCAATAAATAGACACCACCTCCAGAAGCCAAGCAAAAACCTAAAGCTATTAAGAAATAATATTAATTCTCTATGAAGAAAATATGAAAACATTAGATTTCATTTATATTGGAAAATGTGACAAAAAAGCCAAATACATCAGACTACCCAAGTTTACAATAGCAAACTGTTTTTTCTGTGTTCTTCCCTCATTTCATAAAGACATCCCAAATTCAACAGCTTACCTGATCTTGCAGAGACATAACAGGATTATTTTTGGTTGTATTGATATGTAGAACATGGTATTTGTTCTTCGCACAGAGATCATAGGCAATATTTGTGAAGGATGTGCTGGCAGTCTTGGGTACTCTGTTATAAATAATTACCACATCATCTTCTTCATCCACTGTCACATCTTGTCGGGGACCATCTACTGTATGACGTTGCTCTATTTCTCTGACTTCATGCCTTGCAATAGCCCTTTCTGTTAAGGAAGAAAAATATAAAATTTCAATGTAACTGTCAACAATTCTAAAGTTCAAACCTTAGAACACAATCTGGTGAAAAGCAGTAACTCCTCAGCAATAAAGGAAACACTTGCTGTACTATGCATTTCTGACATATCTGAACAAAACTTCATCAATAAAAATGAATGAAAGACAGTCCAACACAGAACACAAAGCCTAGAAAACAATGTTCTTAGGGAACACAGACCATACTCTGATTCACACTGATGTCACTGTCTTTAGACTAAATGTCTCTATAGTTAAGTCTCTAGTGCACTATGAAAATGGTGACATCCCTGAAATATCCCACATAATTTCTACAATACTCCTAGTTAAAAATTATAATAGAAGAAGTAAATCAAACAATTTTAAGAATATAAGTCTTCTGGAAATAGTAGAAATAATAACACCAGAGACCACAGTCAAGTGACTGTGCAGAAGCACTGTCATTCAGATGAAACCACAGGGTTTTTATTTCAATTGATACAAGCCCCAAGAGTAAAGCATTAAAATAAATGGCTTTGCAAAAATTCAATTACTTTTATTAATTTTAAGTTTGATAAGAATAGAAGCAAGAGGTGCCTACAAAACAGGTAACATTAAGGTGAGTGATCTCTGAGTATGAAATACATCAAATAGAAAGAAACATGGGAAGGCAAGCTCTGAACAACACATTTTAGCAGAGTCAGTACTTTGCAAATAACCCATCTTTCCTTTTATACAAAGGGCAATACTCAAAGTAATTGAACATCGCTTCAAGTGCTAAAAGCTTATTTGGCAAATAAAACTCACAGTATTACAGCATTTTCTTTTTTTTTATGCTGCAGAATATCAAATACCCTGTGCTGACTGAGGTTCAGGTTTTTTTCTGATCCTGATAAGTATGAACATTAATACAATTTGTAATACAGATATCAAAGCACTTTTTCTCATTCATTTATGGTGA